GATGAAGGCTCTAGAGGAGGTGGGAGGGGAGGAACTGAGAACTCAGCGGAAGAGTAAGCCTTACAAGGAACAGAGACACCATCTCTCCAGAGACATGACAAAGCAAATCAGGAAAGATGATGGTGCAGAGGCATTGGGAGAAGGAGGGGAGGAAAACTAAGTAAAGCCCTTTCTATACGGCCCCAGGGTGAGCACAGGGGGAGGTGAGCTTGTGTGTAAACTGCCAGTTGACACACCCAACTCCATACATGTTTCCCATGTCAACGCAAGACGTTGAGAGAAAGCATGAATATTCCAAAAGTACTTTAATGAGCAATGGTCTCTTAGATATTATGCTCTTTATACAAATTTATACAATTGAATGGGCTGCTTCATTTGCTAAGGAGCAGAGCTGAGCAGGAAGGCTCTGGGGAGAGCCCTCTGACACTCCTCCTTCCCTGCCATGTGGAACACCACTGGAACCACGTGACAGCGATTGGAGGTTTGGGAGAGACACAAATGCTGTGATTCTGGAGAGGCTGTACTTTGCTGATCTTCCTCATTCCTGTTTTTATGAGGCAGCCGAAGCAGCCATTCACATTCAAACTGTAGTTTCTGTTTCAATCCCTTCAAGCCACAGTTTAAGTGGATTATAAGTATTTTCCTCCTGAAAGTCCCTTAAGGGTCCCTGAAGGCTGGATGAGGTTTGGACTGTTAGGGCAAGAGCAGGAGGAGTGGGTTAACCCACAGCTCTGCCCAGCTACATCCCCTTCCTCTCTGGGCTGGCTCCTTGGAATTCTTGGCTTCATTTCCGGAAAACATGGCAGCAGGTCTTTTCCCACCGGAACACAAATGCAGAGTTTAAGCTCAAGGTTCAGTTCCTTCTGAAAGGCTATAAGAGCAGCTGTATTTGGTGAGCATTCCGAAAAAAGGCTTAAATTCAGGGGCACTTCTTTAATGACCATCTCCAATGAAAGGGCAAGCCATGTTTCTAAGAGTCTCAAGATTTAATTCCACGGACAGCCAGGTGTCTAGTTTGGTTGAGGAAAGATGAGGAAGAGAAGACAACTCCAGTTTTGTTTACTGGTTTGTGAGAATACGTCTACCTCAGCACTGAACCTTCTGATTATGTTTGCCATTGGTGGCTTTGCCACTCCACCCCCTCCCATTCTGTTTTTAACTTTCCCCAAAACGTACAGAAGAGCATTAAGTCGGAAGGCAGTCATACCCAATGGCTTGCTGTGTGTTTCCCCTTCCCAGCACTGAGCCCGCCTGCGAGAGTTACAGAGGGAGCTGAACGTGTCAACCAAGATGCAACAGCCATCCTTCTGACCACCTTATATTGTTCTCAGCAAAAGCCACTATTAACAACACTAATACTGAATTAAATGACTAAATAGTAGTTGCTCCATAAAGCTTTGTTGCCTGGAACTGAAAGTTACCAGAGAGTGTGAGAGCACTGGGAAAAGTTTTCCCACAGATGATCACATGTAAATTATCACTCTGTCCTTTGCCTCTTGTCCCCAACTTACTTTTCCTTGAAAATGCATGATCATGAAGGCATGTCTATGAATCCTAGACCTTTAGAGATGAAAGGGACCTGACAGATGCACACAAACCTAGTTTCAGGCTGCAGAAAAGCCTGGGAGAAGATAATGCTTCAAAACCTGTCTGCAGTCCAGAGCAGCCAGGAAGCTGGGAGCTCAGCTCCCCAAATATCACATTTATCTCAATTTGGCAAGAAGCTGAAAGCCTATCTGGGGCCATTTAAGTTCTAATGTTATTAAGGGCTCATCTAATCAGCTTTTAAAATAAGCTGCTTTCAAATGAGTGGGGAATGAAGGTAGGGAAGCAGCGGGCTGAGAAGGCAGTTCAGACCTGCCTGGTGAATGCTCCTCACTTTGAATTGCCCAAGAGCCAGGAGGCGACCTACAGGTCTTCCTGTATGGTAACTTTTGCAATTCTAGCATCAAATCACGCTGGTGAACAGCTATCTGCGAGTACATGGGGGAGGGGGCTGGTCTGGACAATCCATGCTCTCCCGTGAGGTCAATCGTACACATCTGACAAGGCTTGGCAGAGAAAGATGAACTGGCCTCTGTGCCAGGTGGTGGCTTTGAGATTTAATCAACAGAGCAGCTGGTGCTTCTAGGAACTGCCTCTGAATACTGCATCCTGTAGTCTTCTGAGAAGTTCCGCCCTCAGGAGGGCCAGCAGGATCCACCACCCCTGTCTGGACCCACTGACAGCTGTTATGGGCTACAAGGTAAACTCCTCCCATCCAGCTTTGGTTTGACTTTCCCCGGGCCCAAGAACTTCTGTCAGCTCTAGACTGAAATGAAGCTTAACTCTGGTGTTTTTGGCTCTGATGTGGTTTGGGATTGCAATTCTGATTCTGACACCAATTTCGACGTGCGAGTTTTTCCCCCACACCAAGCAGTTCTCTGACACTAGCTGGGTGTCTTACAATTCAACTCAGTTCTGACACTATCTAAAGGAGATAGCATCAGAGTCCACATTTTGAGGGCTCCGCCTTACAAGACCGCCGTCCACTTCAGATGTCAATTGCAAGTCCAGGTTGTCATCTGTGCTTCTGACCGAACAGCTACAAATTTGAGGTTCCCACAACTCCCACACTGGGTTCAGCTAATTTGCTAGAGCAGCTCACAGGACTCAGGAAATCAGTTTCCTCACTAGATCACCGATTTATTATCAAAGATATTAAAGGGTAGGAATCAACAACCAGATGAAGAGATACATAGAGCAGGGTCTCGAACAAAGGAGCCTCTGTCCCTGTGGAGTTTGAGGCCTAGCTTGGTGGTGTGTGGAGGCATTCTGGCTCACCAACCCAGAGGATCTCCGAATCCCGTCCTTTGGGGTTTTTATGGAGGCTTCATTACATAAGCACCATTGATTAAATCATTGGTCCTTGGTGACTGAACTCATTCTCCAACCCCTCTCCCCTCCCTGGAGGTCAGAGGTCAGGGGTGGGACTGAAAGTTCCATCCCTCTGATCACCTGGTTGGTTCCCCTAGCAACAAGCCCTCATCCTTAGGTGCTTTCCAAAAGTTACCTCACTAACATAAACTCAGGTGTGGTTGAAAGGGGTTTGTTATGAAAATCAAGACACCTTTTTGGCTCTTATCACTCAGGAAATTCCAAGGGTTTTAGGAGCTCTGTGCCAGAAACGGGAGGAAAACTAAATATACATTTCTTATTATAAATCATAATATCACAGGCCCCATCCCCAAGCCCTGCTTTAAACATCAGGCTCATCCTTGCTTTTCACGAGCATTCTCTGATCAGCCTGCAGATGGACTCCACAGGTAGGACCGGGGCAGGGTCCTCATTCCTGGAGTAAGGCAAGCACCAGATAGGATGGGATGTTTGTCCTCGATAGTCACCCCTCTCCCACTGCCTGTCTCTGCACATGGGCTTCTCAGATCCCCACGGGGTCTCATGCAGGCTGGTGGGGTCCTGGGCTCCCTCTTTCATCCTTCCAACACGTCCACCAAAAGCCTCAGATATCAGGGCTGGATGAAAATATGTGAGCGTTCTTGTCAAGCTAGTGATTTAGCTCACGTTTAAACCAACATTCTCTCAATGTTAATTGAACATCGATTCAGAGGAGGATGACAGCACCCCAGGTATCACACCCCTGTTCAACTCGCCTTATTCAGAAGTCAGTTTAGAGACCAACTATTTTCACTTGAGCAAGTTTCTTTGTGGGGGGCGGGGGAAGGGGTTGGAGGGAGCTTAATCTTTCAGTGCAGTGTTTTATCAAGTATTCTTTTGGCTACACAGACTTTCTCTGAGCGGAGTGCTGGTAAGTAAAAATGTCTCCATCTTAATACTTTTCTGGTGATGCTTTTGTGACAGCGCCCCCTAGCTGCTGCCCAGATAGATGGTCCACCCTGTTCCGGCTCTGCTTGGTTGTGGAGAACTCCATCTCAACCAAGTGTTAGACTAGAAGCACCAAATTAACCAGTTTGCTCTTAAGTGTGAATAACTGATAGTCAGCTTAATGCAATGATGTCTCTTGTGAGTCTGTATGTTCAAAGGTGTTTTAAACAGCCTCAGGTACTTTGTAATCAAGTGTCCCCGAGTGAGGTAGGGTGTCACTGAGGGCATTCTCTGTTAATTCAAATATGGGGCTTCATCAAAGACTTGTCCTGTCGCTGTAGTATGCCACAACAGAGAACAAGTGCGTGATGAGTCTGGGGAAGGAAAGGAGTTTTTCCTGAACAACCTTAGACAGCATATAAACAAATATAGAGAGAAGGCCAAGGGGGTATATTATCATTGTTTTGTACAATAAAAAAAGGGCCACATCTGTTTGAAAAGTTCTCGATCCGGCATATCAAGTTTGAGAGCTAGGGAAAGTTATTAAGGGAGGAAACTGTTCACCGTGCCTGTCAACTCTGTGAATCCGGAGAGCCTTTGCCTGTGGACCATTTTTTAGAGGTTATTATTTCAACCTGAAAATTCTTTAGACATATATATGCGGTATGAAAAAGGAATTAGGAAAGCTTTTAAATTAAAAGAAATAAAACGACAGATTTTTCCTCCAGCCATATAAATAGTTATGGATAGAGATAAAGAGATGGATATTTTTTCATAATACTTTATTAGAGGTTTTGGAACTCGAGAAATTTTAGAGTCAGGCTGGTGAATAATTCAGCACCGATTCCTGCAGGCCCAGAACAGGCGCGTTAGGCTGGGAACCAAGTCTAGCCTTTTGGAGGAACCAAGAGCAGTAACAGTTTTATTACCAACCGCATCATGAAATGTGTTTCAGAAATATTTTATGAGAAGACAACACCGTGGTGCCCAGTTTCTCCAGCTTTTTCCAAGACGGCGTGAAGCCGGGGGGAGCTGATGCTCTTCACCACCTCATTTCAAGGAGACTGTCCCTCGGGCTGTGGTCACAGTGACAGTGAGTCTCAAATCCCTGGGAATACACAGTCACTAGTGGAAGCCATTGCAATGACAGATGGTGAAAGATTCACAGGAAACGGTACCTTTAGTGATGGTGTCTTTGATGTTTTCTCTTTCCCCCACGTTCTTTAATCCTGCCGCCAAAATGGACCTGGCCTCTGTCCAGTTACGGTGATATGACCACCTGAAGGAGCAGTAAAGGAGGGAAGAAATACGTTTATGGTTTTAAAGTGAGGAGCCTCAGTTTCCCTTTCCATCCCAACTGCCACATCTCCTTTTTGATAAACTTGGAGATAGACCATGTGGTTTTCATAAAGCAAAGAAAACTGTTATTTATGGTTATTTTTTCCTCTCCAGAGAGTTCTATTTGTTTCCTTAATTTTCTTTCATTCATTCCCATAGCTTTGCAATAAAGTAGTAAATATTGAAGGTAAAAATTCTAGAGGATGGTTATAAATCCGGAGATGTGTTTTATGTAGCAAATCTATTCTGACAGTGTGGAAGAAGACACGCTAGTCTCCTGAAACTCCTGGAGAGGAAGGAGCTACGAGACGTCGCAGCCAGCACTCCCAGTAGCTGAAGCTTGAGTGTCTCAGTTTCGTGGTGCCTCAGAGCACCCACAATATACACTCTCACTCGCGCTCATTTAAACCAAATTATGCATATATGTAGAGATACATGGGGTGTTTTTGGTACTAGTTTTTAGCTGAAACACTGCAACTTGTTTTGACTTGACATATGAACATCAATATTTTTCCCCTAATTTATTTATGCATGTATACACACACTTCTACGAAAAGATCATATTATACATCTAGGCTTTTTTAATGCAGTCTCTTTTTTTCTCTATTGCTTGCCTCTCTCCATCCTTTCTCCTTCCTGCACCATCCATATTTCCCTCAACCCCCACATTGACAGCATGGAATGTAGACTTTCATACTTTCCCTCCTGCTCATATATCCACATATATATGTAGGGGAGCAAAATTTGCCACAACAAAATGTGTCTCCTTGGCTCGATTATTTTTAAGGACAAAAAACTCAGGAAGAAACTATGACCCTCCCCCTAACTACCTAAAAGAATTTAAGGTAGAAGTCCTGTTCCTGAAGGATCTGTCACCATAGATAGCCATAGTATGATATGCACTAGGTGTGGTAGACAGGGCAGAGCCTAGCAAGGCCCATTTGATCAAAGTCCTTCCCACGTCCCATTGTCTCTGCAAGGCATGGCAAACATTTGCTTACTAAACATTTGCTTTTCCATCTCCATGTGAATTGCCTTCCTCCCTTTTGAAGTCCCAAACCACTACCCTTAATATGCTCTTTTGTCTTTAGCTGAAGATGGCATTTAAGGTGGTGGCTTCGGCCATTTTGGTGAGTTACTCAGTTTTCCTGGGTTATTCCCTGGTATATATGTTATTAAACTTTGATTGACTTTTCCCTGTTATTCTGTCTTATGTCAACTTAATTCTTAGACCAGCTAGAAGAATCTAGAAGGGTAGAAGAAAATTTCTTGCTCCCCTACATATGCATATGTGACTAAGGATAGATGCACTGATTTGATGTTTCAATCACTGGCAGCAACCATTTATTAAGAGCCTGCTGAGTGCCCGGGTCCTGCCCAGGCACTGAAGGTTCAAGAAGGTGCACAGCCTCTGCTCTCAGGGAGCTCCCGCCCATGAGGAAGACACACACATGCCTGGCAGTGGTAACAGGGGGGAAGTTCACTTACGGAAGCGTGCACCAAACACACAGTTATTTAAAGAATTTGAACTAGAATGTGGGGGCCCCTATGTTCTAGTCTTGAGCTCTTTTCCATTTAACTAATGTGTCTTGTTATTTGTTTTTATTTTAACTGGTTTCAAACTGTGGGCTGAGCAACGGCCACATCGAAATTGAGCAAGAGTGTGCTGATCTTCTTGAAGTCATGACCACACTTGCTCTGTTAGAATGAAGCTCGTAATGAACCTAATGTATGAGGCCTTGTGATGAAATATGCATTTCCTCACTCATAGATCCATTTAATTTGATTATCAAGCCATACAGCCCTGTAGAGATCACACAGAGGCCTTATGCTGGAGTAGATATCCATAAGACAAGGCAAGGGATGATTATATCAGAAATTGATGCTGGCGTGTCACAATGTGGGCAGTATGCCTGTGATAACACGGTCCAGAGGCAAAACCGTTAGCAGAGATGAACATCAAGTGCAGGACTCACGTCCCCAAACCCTTTTAGCCTACACACTTCTGCGGGAACAGAGGGAGAGAGAGGCGGAACCGTAAGAGACATAGACAAGACTAAGGAGCATGGCCACCTGGCTCCCCAGCATCTTCAGCAAACTGATGCACTCTTTCCATCCATTGTCTCAACCCACTCATCTACCTGCACTTCCCTGTTTAGTGCTCAATATGTCTTTCATAGCTATTTTATGGGACCAACTTATAATTATATAATAATATAATTTGTTCATCTTTGAACAAATCAAGTTTTCCTTGAAAAATGCCCAGAAAATGTGCATTATATTTTCTTTCCTCATCATTCTTATACTGGACATGAGTTCAGGAACCCAAGGGGCTGGGCTTGGATTTTGTTGCATGAGCTCCCTGCCCCTGAGTGCCCAGGCAGGATCCGAGGAGCTGGGCAGTCCAGAGGGTGCAGTGAGGACACCCTGTTGACCCTAGTCACAGATTTTCTCCAAAGCCCTGTGTTTTTTCCCCTTTGGCCTAGGTGAGTCATGGACAGAAGAAAGACACCGCCAGGCCAGGTGGGACACAGCAAACAAAACCTGCAGAGGTTTCAGACTCCACAGCAACAGTTCCTTTTGGTACTCAGCGTAAACCCTGATACGTGGATGGTTTTGGTTTGTTTTCTGCAAGTTGCTGGTGATGTTCCAGTAACAGCCATGTGATTGCAAAGATGCTGATCAGCTCTAGACAAAGCTACCCACAAAGCTAGCGTATTGTCAATTCATGTTTTTGCTCGACTTTCACAGCCTTCGGTTGCTGAAAAGTGGATGAGATTATGAATGGTCAACAAGTTGTACTTAGTCATCTTATGAGAAAACAGGAAATTTAGGCAACTATTGATGATCTGACCCATATTTGGCTCCTTAACTCGCAATGTCTCCTACCATGAGGGACCTGAATGACTATTATGTGAGTCTCCTAGTTTCAGGCATACAAATTTGAATGTTTCTAGAAGGATTTCTCTAACCCATTGGTATTGGCAAGACCTTACAATTTAGCAGAATGTGAAAAGTTCGTGAATGCTCAGTTCATTATCTATTGGTGAATAACAAATTATCCCCAAAATCAGTAGCTTAAAACAATAAACATTTATTATCTCATGGTTTCTGTGGCTCAGGAATTCGGAAGTGGTTTATCTGGGTGGTTCTGGCTCAGACTGTCTCATGAAGTTTCAGTTAAGATGTCGATGAGGGCTGCAGTCATCTGAAGACTCCTTAGGACCAGAGGATCTGAATTCAAGATGGCTCGCTTATGCAGTGTTGGTTGTTGAAGAGGCCTCAGTGTCTCCTCACCGGCCTCTGCAGGGCTGCGGGGGGCCCTCACAACATGGTGGCTGGCTTCCCCCAGGGTGAGCCATCCAACAAAGAACCAGGTGAAAGCTACCAGGTCTTTTATGACCTGTATTGTCATCATTTTGGCAATATCCTACCAGTTACACAGATTAGTCCTATTAAATGTGGAAGGAGACAACACAAGAGTATGAACACCAGAAAGCAAGAATTAATTGGGGGTCATCTTGAAGGCTACCTATCACAAATGCCTTTTTGCCCTTATCAGTAGTGATAAAGGCCTGGAAGAAGACATTTCTGTTTCTTGTATCTCCATGGAGCAACAAATGGAAGAGCATGGAATTTGGCTCCAATCCTAACTCTTATCAGTCACACACTTTTGGAAAAGATATGTACTCAATCCCTCCAAGCACTCTTTCTCTAATCTGTAAAATGGGGATAATAATATTTCCTTACAGGATGCTGTGAGGATTAACTTAGATAATAAATGTAAAAAGCTCAGTGTGCACAGAAGGTAGGAACTTGAAACTTGTTAGTTTCTCTCTCTTTCCCCTCGATCTTTCCTCTCAGGGTCCTTGTATGCCACCTGAATGATGGGGTTAAATGACCCTGACTCAGAGTTGGCCTTCCTCTCCACCCCACCCCCTTCACTCCTGGTTTCCAAGCCAAAGATGGGGCTCAGCCTTGGCAATTTAGGTTTCTTTTTCCCTAAGGAAGATTTTCTGAGGCTTAATAACGTCAGGATGTGTGAGAGACACTGCGATTCTTTTATATCTTAATTAGCAATTAATTAAGTGAAGGTGTGGATGCCTGGAATATCTGACAGACAGGCTCAATAATTATCCTTTATCATTATTACTAATGGAAAATATGGTCAGGGTGGTTCAGGTTTTCCCAGAATCTCTGGTTTAATTGAATGACCCAGTGGAGAATCAAAATGAGCAGGCTGCCCTTTCCACATTGTTTTATTAAAAACATTTTGAAATTTGGTGGTGCCTTGCATTCAGGAGCTTTGCTGGCCTCGTATCTCGGGCTGTGATCTTTAACTGGACTTAGAGGAAGCAGGTGGGCCGCCTTGGGGTGGCAGGGTCCCTCTAGGAAAGCATGCACAATCACATTCTGACGATGATGCCGACTATGCCGGGAGCAATTCATTAACACCCTCCTCTTCCCCTGCGGGGAAGGTCTTGGTTTGGAGGTCAGAAGAGGACATTGCCCTAAGGCCTGAGCTGGAGAAGCGAAGAGAGGTGCTTTTCCAATGTTGCTATAGTGATGTTGGCCTCAGTCTCCCGGAAGCTCCATCCAGGAAGTGCTGCACGACCCTAACTTGGTGATGCTGGCTTCACAACCTCGTGTTCACGTGGGAGGGATGGCAAGTGAGGGGTCCAGACATTGGCACTACTTGGAGGGCTCACGGGGTTGAATTCTCTGGGGTATCTTGGGGAAAGTAAGTTAGGGCCCGGTTTCCTCCGTATTCTAAACTCACGCATGGTGGATTCTCCACAAGCCATTCAAGCCTTCTGTCTTCTCGAGTTAACTTGAGAGAGCTGGACATATGTCAAACTACTCTCTCACTCCAGAGAGAGCTGCACAGTGTTGCCACAGGGGGTCATCTGGGGAGGCATGAGGGTCCTTCTCTGTCCTCAC